CCCTTCCTGGGCTTGACTGGGGATCAGGAGCCCTCCCTGGGCTAAACGGGGAATCAGGAGCCCTCCCGGGGCTTAACTGGGGATCTGAAGCCCTCCCTGGGCTTAACTGGGGAACAGGAGCCCTCCCTGGGCTAAAATGGGAATCTGGAGCCCTCCCTGGGCTTAACGGGGAATCTGAAGTCCTCCGTGGGCTTAACTGGGGATCAGGGTAGCGCTTACGTGGTGCTGGCACTGGCAGACAGGTGATGGGCATAACTAATAACAAGGAACAGGTGATACTAATAATGGGAAAAAGAACTGGACGGACCAAATAAGGACAACAGGAACTAAACGGGAACATACACGTGACAGATCGCCGCCCTCCCGGACGGCGCCATCAGGGAGGGAGGGCGGTCAGGGAGCCATGGCGGAGCAGGGGACTCAGGAGGCCATGGCGGATCCTCTGTGGCCTTAGCTGGCTCGGCCCAAGCCTGCAGAACTCCCAGGAATACTCAACAAAGGGGAGATCTAGGCGAGCTAAGGCGGAGAACCGAGCGGCAATTTCCATAGCCGCGGGAAAACAAGGAAAACAAAAAACAAACGCGAGGAAAAGTCGCCGCTCACTTTTTGTGTGGTCTGGAATTCTGTCACGGGTTGCTACTGTGAGGAGCACGGAGCGAGGAGACCAGGAGTTTAATTCTTTTTTTCAGGGAATCACACGTAGCACAAGGAGTTGACAAACAATTCCAGACAAGGGAGAACAGAACGGGCTAGAACTAAATCGGGCAGATAACGAGGGGCAGACAGGTGATGGGGATAACTAATAACAAGGAACAGGTGATACTAATAATGGGAAAAGTAACTGGAAGGACCAAATAAGGACAACAGGAACTAAACGGGAACATACGTATCTTACAACAGGAACTAAACGGGAACATACGTAACAGATACGTAGGAACTGGTGAGTTGAATGGTCCAAAAGAATGATTCGTTCGCGAACCAGACATCACTATGGACCGTTTGCCTGCAGCTGTGGATTACAGATAGTAATAATGTTCAATTTCTTGCACAGACCAATCGCTTCACTTCATAAGACCTCAATATATCATCAGGAGCCGGGGGTATTAATTTTGTGTTCCTTGTGTTACTTCCTTTTTTTTATTCTGAAAAACCAGTAGCCGCTAACTTGCATTTTATGAATCACCAAGGACCACGGTTTCAGCTATAAATCTTAATATTTTACTGAAGAAAAAAGTCACCTACATTTTAAATGGCCCGAGTTTGAGTAAATTAACAGCAAATTTTAATTTTTTTTAGTGAACTATCCCTTTAACTGTAAAATCACTGGAGTGACCATGTGGATTTGAATTTAGTATGATATGCCTTAAAAATGGGTCATGTCATATATTTTATAATTTTTTGTGGTCCCCAGGACCCATCACATAAAGATACCACAAATGTCTCTGCCAAAGATAAAAGAGGAAGGAAGAGAAAGGTAATCACTCTGTGCACTTTGCTGGTGATTCTTGTGATTAGGTTACATGACCAATAACATAACTACCAGAAATTAAATATTTGATTTGGTTTTCACAGATTGAAGCTGAACGAGACTCTGATACAGAAAACTCAAGCCCCACTTCAAGTGCTCCTGGGTTAGATTTATTATCAGCAGGTGCAGATTGCCCTTTCAAACTCTGTAGATGTTTTCTTATCTTTAGTAAGGCAACACATCTATAAATATGTATGTGGTGTGTCTTTTTTCTTATTTAGGTGGAGCAGTTCCGTTACTAAAGCGCAGAGGAAGGAAACCTAAAATGGAGAAATCACTACTGCTGCAACAACAGGCTTCAAAGGAGCCACTGAGGTTAGGCGTGGATCATTTACAAATGTTTGTATAAATAATATTACAGATTAATTATATTATAGATGCACCAGTGTAACTATAGGCCGAAGAATGACAAGGTAAGATTAGAAGGGATTGTTTATTAATAATTAGTGAACCATCATTAGATGCATTTATTGTTGTAGTGATTTCAAGGTTAGATAGCCTCACACGGGGCACCACTAAATGTAGTGATTTTAGATTTAAGTAGTACCACCAGTGTAATGGCTTTGGGCTTAAATATGAATTCTGTCAGGACCACTATCGTCAAATATGATTGACAATTAGCATACAGTTTGGTTTGGCGGTATGGTTCTGTTCTGGGCAAGAACTCCCTGCGCATCCATGCAGCCTAGCATGGATGAGAGCAGGGAGAGCAGCAATAACCCCCCAAAACAAAACCATATGCTGATATCCCCCAACACAAACTGATAGCAAAATCTCAAAGCCTTAAGCAACAAGCATGTTGCCCTTAATCAATGACCAATCAAATATGTTGCCAAAACCCGCATAACCTGTAACAACAATTCTGTTGCCTTAAACAGATTTCCTAATGAATATGTTGCCAGTACCTTAAAAGCTTAAGCAACATGTTCTGAATAACACCAGATAGACTTAAGAAAAACATGTTCCAATTCACCTACAGCTTTCAGAACAAGCATGTTCCGAATAACGACCAGATTGCTCTGGAACAAGCATGTTCTCAATATGACTAGACGGCTTAAGTACAAGCATGTTCCAAATACGACTACAGCTTTTAGAACAAGCATGTTCCAATAACAACCAGATAGCTCTGGGACAAACGTGTTCCCGACAATACAACTATAACTTAAGAACAAGCATGTTCCCAATAACAACCAAGCTTAAGAACAAGCATGTTTCCAATACGACTAGACAGAACAAGTGTGTCTGATGCGGGAACAGAATCAACGCTGAACTGACGGCTGCATCCGAAACTGGAAAATACTGCTTTCGGAGGACACATTTCAAGGTAGGAAGGCATCGAGACACGTCAAATCCAAAGTTAGCTTCATTTCCTGCCTCCTGAGATACCTCATGTGGTCGATATTTAAAGGCAGAATAGATGCATCCTTCGCTGGCTTGATACCCACAATCCTGTGTGTTCTATGCCGTGATGGTTGATCAAATAAATCATTGAATATTTGCTTAGTTATCACCAAAGCTCGTACTATTTTGTTGTAGATCATTGAACGTTAAGCTGCCTCAGAAGCATGTCCTGAACAATGACCATTTACTATTTTCTCTTGGAGCTGCGCCGCAGCAGAAATGATTCCATTTGCACCATGGTCGTTATTTCCTGCTGCTTAAATCTGTGCTGTAGTGCTATAAAAATAAAGTCGACTTGACTAGTTTAAAGGGGACATAACACACACAGTTTCGGGCGGAGCTGAAGAGTCGCGAGCACTTACGGGCCGATTGGCGACAAACCATAGACATTGATGCAGTTTTACAGCAGTTCCTAATCATGACCGGGATCTTTTATCGCTGGGACTGCTCCGTCTTTCAGTATCAAACGATGTGCAAATCCAGTGTCAGAATGTACCTTGTTATAAAACATTGGTCACCAAAATGACGGGAACAAGCAAACAAACACGCTCGTGAAACTCCGTTGCTGCCTTGGAAAAACAAATTGCATCCACTGTTCACGTGCCATCAAAGTACCGCGAGAGCAAAACGAGACCAGCCACCTAGGTCAGGCACTAGGCTTGTTTGAGATGCGCCTCGCCTGAAATGTAGGCGAGAGTAGGCGGCTGCAGTAAGGGGTGGAGTGAAATAAACACAGTCAAGACGGACATTTCTGACCTCTCGAAGTGGAGCATATACCAACGAGATCAAAGACAGATATCGCGTTATTCACACTCGCGTGCTGTGTTGCTAATAAACATGATATAATTTCAGTTCTGTTGCCTTTATATAAAAATAAATATATGAATATAGCTGCAAGCAGCGATGGCGGGCCCAAGCCCGTCAGTGCAAACGCCTCCCCGGTGGCATCAGGAGAACGGTGCACAGCCAGTAAATTTTGCAGTGTTAAAATAACTCTTTAAGAGTTAAATTTAACACTGGACCCGAGTGTATTTGGTCCCATTCAGAATTGGTGATAAAATGACTCTTGTCATAGTGTTCAATTTTCAGAGTAAAATTAACTCTGTTTGGAGTAAAAAATTAACACTGCTCAACACTGAATAGTGTTACTACAATTTAACACTAAAGTAAATTAACTCTGAATGGTGTTACCACAATTTAACACTAAGGGAAAATGAACACCAATTAGTGTTAATATTTCACTTTTGTAGAGTTTATTTACATTTTTATTAGTGAAAAAATCCCACTCAGTGAGTACAATTTTAAAACCCATTTGGTGTTGCAATAGGTTAAAATGCTGATCAAATAACTCCAGAGAACAGAACAAAAAACAACTTAATCAACGTACCATTTAAAACATTTATTAAAAACACGGTCAGGCTTAAACAAATACATGCACAAAAAACATCACATCTGCATAAAATGACAATAGGGCACTATATGCAGTGCAGAATCTGTTGTACCATATTTCATTTGAAGATCAAATGGTTTGAAATAACACAGCTCGTTAACATTTACTAACTTTAAAACTCGGTCTGGATGCAGTCTGACTGTAAATGCATGGTAATGGTCATCAAAACAGAGTGTTTCCATCAGTGTTCCACATAACAGTACATTTTCATCTTTCACAGCAATAGTCTTGATCTTACAAAACACTGGCATCTCACATGCTACTTCTGTACAGATAATAAAGTCAGGGCGATACTCTGTGCCATGATGTTTGATCCACTTTACAGAATAGACATGTTCTGATATTTCCACTCCTAGTTTGGAAGCCATCTCCATGCCACCTTTAAGTCCACTGAGTTCCACCATCTTCCCTGGACCAAGAGTAACTCTGTACTGGCTAAAAGACTCCCAGTGCATTGCCATACAACTCTGGTGCTTTTTGGCCAATGTTTTGGTGATGTTTTTGAAGCTTTTTAATTGTGTTTTAAAGAATTTGTGTTTAGCTTCATAACGCATACACCACATGTGCAGAATTGGTCCAATTTTTCTTATACACTGTGGGTAATGTATCATTATGTGATGCTTTGGCAAAAGATTTTTTTCGGGAAATAATTTTTTGAATAGCTGGTGATGTTCAATTATTAAATGTTTAAGATAAATGGTCATGCCTTCTGTTAGGACTGGTGAAAATACGATGTTAACAATCTGCAGAAGTAAAAGCAAAAGATACCAGTGTTTATCATCTCTCTGCACTAAATCACCAAATAACAGAGGCATGTTGCGCAACAAGCACCAAGATTGTATGGCATTTAAACCAAAATCGTTGCTTCCACCAAACAATTTGACCATTGGAGGACGGTTCCTCTGCTGATTGTAACCATAATCAAAAGCATGTATTCTACCAGCAAGGTCATCAGCACTCAGAAAATGATGCTGAATGTACTGCAAAACAAGTTTTACCTCTAGCTGAGCGACACCTTCAAGAATGTCGTGCATTATATCCACAGCAAAATTGTTGGCTGTGTTGAAATACTTGAGTGAATTTAACAAACACACCCGTTTGACGCCATAAACATGAGGTAGTGTAGAGTCATCTTGTAACCTTTTACAGTGCAGAGCATGCATCTCAGTTGTTCTTAGTACAACCTCAGGGTTATCTTCGGAGAACACAAACTGAAAGCGATCTTTCTCAAGAACACAGAAACGACAGCAATATTGAGCCCCAAATGACTCCAGAAACCCTAATAAGCTGTGTAAGCCAAGGTTATCCCCTGTGACTTGAACAATTGTACCCCTAATACATCTTTCAGATACTGGATTCTTAACCCCCTCAATCTCAAGCACTTTTAGATCATTTACTAGAGGCTCGATTATAGAATTCAAACCATACCGTCTAATATCCTGTGCATGAAAGAGGGCACATAAATGAATATTATCCAATGAGGAGTTAAAAATGGGGGGGAAATTCCTTAATGTAAAATAGATAGCACCCAATTTATGTATACCTTTTTTGGAACCCAAAGGGTTAGCGGTCTCAAAATCATCATAAAATAACTGAATTTGTAAGGCATCTTTTTCTGTGTAAAATAAAGGATTACTTTTAAAATGTGCTGCATCACTTAAGTCAACATAAACGCCTTCCTTTGGAACATGCCTGGGTTTAAACAAATCAGTAAGATGCGGATTTTGTAAAATTACCTTTAGTGTTTCTAAAATGGGAACATAAGCACATTTATCTGTTACAACAACTTGATCAAATGTTCCTGTGGTTTTATTTCTTCTGCTGTCAAATCTTGTGCCAAGCACTATTTCGGTAGGTTCAACAGTTCCCCATTTCTCTGTAAAGAGTCTCTTTCGTTTGGCTTCTGAATTTAACAAAGTAAATGGATTTTCCAAATGTTCAATTGAACTTTCTATTTTCCTTTTAGTAGCAATGTCATGTGGAGGCAGACACAGCAAAGCTGCATCCTGGGCCTGACTGTGAATCTCAAAAACGATTTCCTCCATAGATTAAACAAAACCACTTATAGCAGACTGACTTAACCCAGCAACTTTTAGTTGCGCAACAGCAGAAGCACACATATCTAAAGTGCTCTTATTTGACTTTAACAATACAGATGTTGTGGCCACTTCTCCAACACTGCCAATCTGATCAAATGTTTGAGCACTAATTTGTCCTTCTGCCTCAGCAGTCTCACTGTTGTCAATGGTGTCAAAATTCTTATCACTTTGCTCAGTATGTTTTATATGCAAATGTTTTCTAAAACCTGAAAAAGTACCAAACACAGAACTACACCCTGCCTCTACACATTTAAGGCGAAGATTCTTTCCAGGAACAAAACCATGAACTAATCTTAGGTGCCTAAGAAGCAATTTTGAACCATATAACTCAGCCTGACAAACAAAACACTTCATGAGGGCAGAAAAACTTAAGGCACCTAGCCAAGCAACCTTGCTTTA